TCACTTCACTTCACCTTCATCTGTCCTATTTGTTTACTCTTCTATAATCTTATCGTCTTCCCATTGACTTTAGTGTGTGGGTGGACTGAGAGAAAAGGAATGAATGGAAGGCTTCTGAGAGGGGACATGAGTGGACTAAAGTGAGGGGAGGAACGAGGGGGAGTTAAGAAGGGGGAGAACGAAGGGAGTGAGTGGGGAGGAAAAACGAAGGCAGATTGGAAGTGAGAGGAGAAGGGAAAGGACGGGAGACGGAGAGGAAGGAAGTGGATAGGGGAGGTGGTAAGGAAAGCCTCCCCTGTAAGTTGGACATCATATGGTGAGAAGAGAAATAGAGAACTTTAGAACTAGAGGAAGAAAAAGGAACTTAAATGAGAGGAACCAGACGGATCACCCCTTTTGGATTGATATCTCAGTGTGAAACAAGAATTGAGTGAATCAGCCCTTCCCCCCAGACCAGCGAGAAGCCTCATCCACGAGCCCACACAATTCAACTTGCATCATTAAGTTTTGGGTACCCTCTTTCCTTATTCTTTTCTTTCACCTTCTAAATCTTCGAATAAGCTGGCTATATTCAATTAGTTTAGTAATAATAGGAACCTAGTATTAAGTAAGATAATTTTAGTTAATCGGATGTTCGGTTCGGGAAAAGGGGACAACTAGAATTGTTGGTATCCTATGAAATCCTGTATTTGGACTAGCGAGTTAATAAATAATTGTATTTTATGTTACCTAATCTGGATTGTGTGTCTTTATATAACTCGCAGATCTTGCAGTTTAAAAGAAATTTTAAAAAATAATTTAAATTATAAATTTTTATACTTTGTTTTACGGAGTTAATTGATTTAGCAAGTAAGCAGCCCATATATTTATAAACAAACAACAGCTAACCCGAGAAGTGATAAAAAGATAACAAATACAAAAATTTCAGTAATTAAACTTTACTTTTTAAATGTAGTTTGTTTAAATTTAGATTGTGCTGGGACCTTGTAGAGATTCAGAATGTGAAGTGAATGTTGTAGAAATTGAAACAACTGATTATGAAGATAATGTAATTACTGCAACACTTGCAGTACTCCAGTCAACAAGGGAAAAAAGATTTGCTGAGGTAAATACATACTGAATTTTAGCAACTTGAGTGCACTCATGTTGAAATATTTAATGACGTGTTTAATTTATCTTGAATTTGATTATTTTTTTACTTTTCTTATGATATGTAGTATTATTCCAGTTGTTCTCTCAAATTAAAAAGAAAAGGCAGCATAGTTTATTATTCATGAACAAAATTTCAGTGTGTCCTCAGTTATGAATAAAATTACATTTTTCCATTTCACCTATTATGCAAAAAGTTGTTACTTATAATAGTGTTCAGTTTCATAACTTAGATGCACTGAACCAACAAGAAGTGTCAAACAAACTTCAGCTTTATTAACTCTCTCTCTATAGACTCTTGGCCAGTGTTGTCTTTCAGTTTTTTGCTAAATCTTTCTATTCTTCATGCCATTCTTCTTTCTCACTAGAACGTAAATTGAGTTCTCTAGAATAGTACTTTCCTAGACTTTAGTCATGTAAAACTAAATTTTATCATGAGAATTGTGATCCTATTAAACTTTAGGATTTTTTAAATGCCACATTTGAAAACCTCAGTTGCAAATAGAAATGTTAACTATATCATTTCTTCAAGTTAAAAAGAACTTAAGCTTAGTTTATACATCTCTCCCCCCAAAATTAGAGGAATAGCTTAGCAAATGTTTCTTTCCCCCACAAAAAAATTGCTTGCTACTTTCAGGTATTTTAACCTCTAGCAATATCATATTTTAAGCACTTAGTTGTGCTTAATAACATTAGTGTCTTAATTTTTTTTACAGGTTTTCATTTCCTATGTTTGCCTTTCATTTTTAGGCTAAGTATGTTTGTTTATTATTGTTTAGTTTGTTGCCTCACAAAAAAAAAAACTGCCATGGATACTACTGTATGTATGTTTTGGTATTATACTTTCTAGTATTGGTTTCTTAAAACCAAAATGATGCAAAATATATTCTTTATTTTTCTCATTTTAAAATTTTAAATTCTTTTTCCACCAGAATTTTGTTTGGAATAAAAAGTTCAGATGAAGATCAAACTTATTAATCATTATTTAGCTAAAACTATCAAGTGCCTTTTTATTCTATTCATCCAGTATTCTAAGTCTGTTTTTTTTTATTTTTCATAAACAGCTTATCTATGAACAAGCAGTGTTTTTATTTCTTAGAACTTTACACTGGTCTAAAAGTTTAACTTTGCAAAAAAAATGAGTTAACTTGTTTATAAACTCTTCTAGTTTCTCACAGAATAAACTTAATTTTTATTCTAACTTACATATCTTAATTTTTTTTATTTTAGACACAATTAGATATAATGATTCCCAGACAACAAGTGACGTTAAAGTTGGTTGAAGGATCCGGACCTGTATCAATTTTTGGGCATCATGTTACAGGTAACTAAAAGGTTGAATTTGTTTTTTTCTTTCTTTAAACTTGAACTAAGTGACTAAGTTTTTCATTTGTGTGTGTAATGCATGCAGAATATGTAATGACTCATTTAGAAAATGGCATTAATAAGTTGCTTTAGATGAGAGGGGGGGATTTAAGATAGTGCTGGCAAAAAATGAAGTTTTTTTTTATATTGATAAACCAGTTTAAAATATCAGATGCCAAGTTAATTTAAAAACTCTTTGAATTCAATAAATTTAATGTTTTTTAATAATAAAAAGTGCAATAATAAACTAATATTTACTGTAATACTGTAAAGATTCAAGAATATGCTTATATCATGTATTTCTGCCAAGATAGGCCATTGTTTTTTTGATGTTGGTAAATGGAGTGTAAATAGCATTTGAAAATATTTTTTAAAAAAAATCATTTTTAAATTCATGCTAGTTTGTTCTTTAATTTTTAAAATTTAAATGTGAATAATCAATTTATTGTGATATTATCAAAATGCTGAGCTGCAATTTTTAATCATATTAATTTAAAATATATATTTTCCTCCTCAAATTAGTAGTGGCCTCCCCCTGTACGTAATACTTTTCCTTTAACAATAGTTGTGCCAGTCATCTATCTAACACCTTTTTAGGGGAAAATTTTTGAATTGAAATTACATGACTTCTGGTTTGGTTTGCATTCGAAATTTGTATATAGTTAATTGGGGCCTCCTGCTTCTAAGGTTTCCATATCTTGTCTCATCTTTCATCTATCTAACATTGTTCTTGAGATTAAGGAAAGACAGTGGGAATTTATAGGTCTACAATTTTTTCAAATTGAAGCCCAATAATGCATGGCATAATTTGAAAAAAGTGGATAGTGTTTAATAAGAGTTTTTCTCTAGAAAGTTGTGTAAAGAGATCTACCAATTGATTTCATGTCTAAATCAGATGTGCCAGATTTGTAATTTTTGTATTGATACTTTTGCACCTAAAAAATTTCTGGTATGAAAGGCTTTGATGTATCCACAAATTAGAAATAACTATGGGTTAAAGAAATTAAAGATGCCCATCCTGTGGTAACTGTTTTAAATTAATCAGGCTCATCTATGTGTTTGGCCATACCCACAATAGGGTGGCTGGATATGAAGGCATATTCAACCACTCTATTGTGGGTATCGCCAAACATCCAGATGAGCCTGGGATTGGGCCTGACGTGACATCCAGAACAGACCATTCCAAAAATTTTTTAGTTTATTTTCAGTCTGCTGGATTTGTTCTTAGGCCCCAAATCATAGGCTGACACCTTACTCATTTGGCTGTTCAGCTGTCGTCCATACATCTTGAAGGTCCCAAAACATATGTAATACTTTCTTGAAACACTTTAATTAGCAATAAAACTATGACTAATGCTTTCATGTCTGATTTGTCCCCACTTAGCAGTGCCCAATATTTTATCTTGAACAAAAAAAAAAACAATTCTTTTTCAGAAAACCTATGTTTGTATTAGACTTCACCTAATAATTACACTTTCTGGAAGCCAGCCTCTTGCAAGAACCAAATTCTTTGCTTCTGTATCAGCCACTTCATTAAATTGTCTGACAAATTGGTCTTTCCCATACAGAACTCATTGAAAAAGTTATTCCACAGTTTTAATTATAGTCAGTTTACCCATTCATGCCTTTATGCATAATTTTCTTCATTTTTTTTAACATATTTTGAGCTCATTTATAACAGTCAAGTCTTTATTTATTTTGCCATAAAGGAACTCTTATTCTTAACACACAAAAATTACACATACACAAGACTGAAGAGAACCTTTTTGCTAATTTGTAAAACTAGCAAAAAAAGGTTTTCTTCAAGTCTTAGTAGTCAGTCACTAATTTATTAAACACAGTATTTACTTTATCATATTGACAAATGAAGTTGTTCAAAAATTGGTATAACTCTCTGACCTTTTTGAAGTGAGGACACTTGTGTGCATAATAGGTTTACACTTGTAGATTATAAAAAAAAAAGTTATCATCTAAATATAATTTAGTTTATATATATATATATATATATATAATTGTCAAAGCAATATTTCAATTTTTGAAATATGGTTTGACAATTGAAAACATGTGATATAAATTTTGTAAAATGTTAAAGGCAATCTGAAAAACTGTTTTTAACTGGTTCTTTTCAAATTTTTTTGATTTTTAAAAATTTTCTTACAGGATGATGATGATGCAGATAATGAGAGTGAAGAAGATGATGCTGATTATGAACAAGAATCATCACCAGAAAAGCCAAAGTGAGTTCTAAAAATTTATCTTAACTTAAACTATACTTTTAATTGCCAATACTCAAAACTTTGTCCAATAAAGTACAGTACATCCAGATATGCAAGAGTTGTACCAAAAGTAATGTCTAATATCATATTAAGAATGTAAACACTTTCATTGCTGCTGGTTTAATGTCTGGCAATAATTCATGCTGATGCAAATGATGCATACATAGTGTAGTGAGTAAGAATCGACAAGGTTTAAACTCACCGTTGGTAAGGAAAACAAGGGTCGTACAAAGAATTATCACTCGAATACGGTTTTAAGGAAGGAAAATTATATTTTATATATATATGAAAAAATAAGATAATTAAAACACTAGAACACTAAGTTACTAAGATTAAAAAAACACTTAGCCCAATGGTAATATTTACAATATATATACAATGATGAGTACATGCTGAAAGGACCGACATGTTCATTGAATCTTGTTTGATCCAACAAGAAAAAATACAACAGGAACATGTGTACTACACATGAATATGAGTTATTCCTTTAATCTTCCATCTCTAAGCAACAGTTCTTCCACTCAGGATTGAATATTATTGTGGATGCAAAAGGATTTGTCCAAACAGAGTCCAGCGTCTTGTCATCACTCTTAACCCTTCCTTCACTTACCTCCTCTCTCGGGGCTTCCTCACCTTCGTAGCCTTCTGCCGGCATGCCACCCACCAGTCTCATGGCGAAGTCAGAAGGAAAAAAAAAGATCCTTGCGCACGTTATACACTCCCTTTTTATACCCCTGCCATCCAGGGTTTTTCCCAGTCACATGTTGTCATCACAACTAACCCCAGACCAACAAGTGGTTGCCGAAGATGGAGGAACGTGACAAAGGGAATGTTTTACAAACAAAATTTATTGCGACAAGGGGGATCCAATGCAGAGCCAACCCCGATACAAAAAACTAAAAATAATATATATAACAGTTTAGTGACAGAGCACTACAATAGTATGAGAAAATGGGAGGACAGTCTCGTATTTCAAGAGTTTATGATGACTGACTTCCTCTTTAAGGAGTGAACAGTTCTTTGCAAGAATTGCTTTTTAGTGAATGAAGTTTGCATGAGTGTTGGCTGTCAGATAATCATATGGCTGTTACCATTTTGAGTATCTGTAGGCAGCCATTAGATAAGTCCTGTAAAGATTGCCTGTAGAATGCTAACACAAGACTTGTACAAAATCTTAAAAGTTTAAACAATTTTAGAATCTCTTGCAATGAAAATCAAGTCATGTTTCTAAATTTAAAACAGATGTAGACAAAGGCTATGAATTAATCATGTAAACCATGTGATATTTTTAAAATGGATTTCTAACACAAGACAACTTTACCATTGTTGTGGAAAATATTGTGTTTCACTTAGAATAGAGATTTTTGTAAGCGTGCAGATACAAATCATTGAGAGTTTCAGTCCAACTTTTAGAAGTTAGTGACCAAAATGTTTGGTACAAACTTACCCTGAGCTTTATCCCCTAAATTCCAACAGTTGGAATTTAGGAAGATCTTGAATGTATTGTTAAGCCCCAATAGACCTAGGTCTGTTAGGCGATGTTAGAGGGTCAAGGCACAGACAAATTAATTTAAGGACTTTACAAATCTGGGTTAAATTTTAGTAACAAAGGTTTAATCATAAATATTTACAAAACATTCATCTATTCTAAAACATGAGAGGAACATAAATCTATTTAAATTTACAAGATCAGGTAACACGTACACTATACGAGAAAAGGATCGAAGGTATTACTTTTCCTTTTAAAAAGACACAATAATCAACATACCGACAAAAATAATGGTTTTCTGAGGTCCTTCAATGTTTCCTGGTTTAATATCTTGCACTTAGTTCACGAACAACGGGCATATTCTATACAATGGATTTGGATTCCATTCTCTTAATTCAAAAGTTCACACATGTCAGTCCCTTTCTTCTACTTTACCGACACTCTTACACCACATAGATCACTCAAGAAACAGGAACTGGGAAAGTAGACTTTGGACGGGAGTTCCAATATTTATACTTCCCGCCATTTGGGTGTGACGTGAAACACATGTGATGTTGGTCACTGACCAATTAACCAGCGCGACGGGCCCAACCCGTTCACAATCCGGTACCATAAAATAAAATGGAATTTTACAACAAAACCCGACACGTTATATATATACGTTATATATATATATATAAAATAAACGAAATGCAGTAATATCCTGAACTTACACGATAGATGGGACCGAGCGGTAACCACGTAAGTTGAATTTGCGTAAGTCGGGGTATAATTTCACATATAAATACATGCAAATAATTTTTAATTGGGGCCAGAGACTAAAGAAAACAATAATTTAGAAAAAAATGTTTAATAAAATCTTAGATAATATATATGAATAACAAATTAGGCCTATATTATTTTACAATTTTTCACATTTGATTATTACGCCATAATTTTAATATTGTTTCCATCTCATGATAATACTGTGACGTTTATGAATGATGCTTGAATTTAAAGATTAAGCATTTTTCACAGCTTCGAGAATTTTTTCTTTGCCTTTTATAATTGTTCTGACCGACAATTCCGGTAGATCAAACTTCTTTGCCAATTCACAAATTTTCATTTTTGTATCAAAGTCTTTAATAATGGGTATGTTCGTAAAGTCAAACGAGTTAAACACATTAGTTCGTTAGACTTTTCAAATTGTTCAAAAAGTCTAATGAAATAGGAATAACAATGACGTCATTCTCGTTTAACTCGTTTGACTTTACGAACATACCCAATGTTAACTTTACATTCCAAAGATAGTTTTTCTTTTCCTGTTTGATGCAGAAGAATTAGTTCTACTTCGTTTGGATGACATAGTAGAGTCTCTCGAGTCTCTGTAGATATAACACACACAGAAATAAATAACACAAAATAAATTGTAGCTATGTGTATATTCCACGCGACACGTTCGAACATGTAAGCCGAACAATAGTGTGTGGGGAGTGAGTAATCAAGGGTTGCATGGCGCTCAAACAAAAGACGAATCGACGAGATTTGAAAATCGCGTAACTCGAGGTATTACTGTAAACTATGCATACTGCTTGGGCACTACAGTATTATTATAATATGTATAAAAATTTGAAGTCTAAAGCACAAAGCATGAGGATAATCTTAATGTTGAAAATATTTATGAAATAACTTAAAAATGATTGAAGAGGAGCAAATCTCCAACTTTTTATAGATAAGACATTTTTTCGAATTTGTGTAAATTGAATGAAATTGTAAAATGAATATTCAAAAGGAATGTTGCTCTGAAATATTTATTCAACTTTGTTTTTAATATCTTCAATTCTCGTTCCTGATTTCTTAATAAAATTTTGAGTCAAGCAATAAGATCAAGAATTCAGGACGCATTTTAAATTGATTTTCATTTAGTGTGTGAAATTGTTAACATTTCAAATTAGTAACTTAGGTTTTATTACTGTGAACTAATAACTGAAATTTTCCCCTTCATTTTTAGGAAGAGAATTGATACTCCTAGTAAAAAGGTAAGATATATTTTCATAATTTTTCTATTTAACAAACTCCTAAATTCCATTTTGTATAACTGATCCTGTTAGTGTTTTTAACTACCTCCCCCCCAATGTTTGGAGGAAAACTTAGCTGTGTGTTTTCATAGTTTTATTTTCTAAATTTATTAATGGAGAATTACTTGTTCTTGCTTTCATAAAACCTGAATATGGATATTATATGCTCCTCATTTTCTTAAATAAAGAATTCAGAACATTACATTATTTTTTAATATTGGAATTAGTTCATGTTAAAAACATTTTAAACATGATGTTAAATGAAAAAAATCTTAAATGGCAAATGATTTTTATACATGATGAATTTAAAAAATATTTTTAATATGTGATTTAACAGAATTACCATATTTAATCACATATAAGATGAGGTTTTTATTCATTTTTCACTGCTTCAATAACCTAGATAGTCCTATATGCACGAGCAAAGAATTCATTTTGTTTTAGCAATAATTTTTGTAAACTGTATATTTGCATTTTTTTTACCGGATTCTCACCTTCTGGTGTTTAAAAACAAAAGTATTTTATCTGGATCATTTGAATCATTCTTGTGTATTATCAGGAGTAAAGATGAATAGCAATAGGAAAAGCAAAGCTTTTGAATTGAATTCCAAAATTACACAGGATACCAATATAAATTTTAATTCATTCAGAAAAACAGATGATTATTTGGAAATCGGAATTCAGAGAAAGTCATAAGTGTAATTGACAGAGTGAATTCAACTGTTAAGAATTGGCAAAAAAGGTTCCCAATAATTGTCCAGCTTAACATGAACAAATTGTTGTTGTGTGAGAATTTGAATACCCTCATTATTGTTTGATCAATTTTAAAGGATTTAATACAGTATTATTTAGGATTGAAATTTTGTTGGTGAGAGTATCATGACACTCTTCTAGAGACATTCCAGATGATGTCTAGACTTTTGTTTATATAACTACATTTTTGTAATTCATATCTCATCCCCCTTTGTTTTTTGGTATGTGTAGTATATACAGCTTAAATTAANTTGCACACGATGCAGGCTGCCAGAGAAGCCGTCTATAAATAGGGCTTTTTCCTGCCATTCCAGGTAGTCTATCAAAAGGAAGATTGCCATAAAAAGAAATCATCCATCATTTTCGGAAAGAAGGGAAGTTGAACTTCCTTTTAGACAGCCGACTGGCTGATGAATCAGTTTTGCACACGATGCAGGCTGCCAGAGAAGCCATCTATAAATAGGGCTTTTTCCTGCCATTCCGGGTAGTCTATCAAAAGGAAGATTGCCATAAAAACTATACGCAGTTCCCGATGTAGGACGTGCCATATAATATTTGCAGAGTCCCTGAAGATATGTACTGGTCACATAAGCATCTTTCCCTGTAGGAACTAAAGATCGTCTCCCATAATATCGAAGATCCCATGATATAGAAGATAAAGTTGCCAAAAATACTACGAACTTATGCGATGCTGTCAATGAAACATCATTCAATTACAAGATATCTACAAAGTGTGTTAAGGTAGTATGTCATTAGAACCAATGTAAACACTCTCTCATCACGAGTTAGGAGCTTATAATTATTTTGTAATCTTTTGTTTATTTGATATTCGTTTTATTAAATGCTTGTTTGTTGTTAAAATATGGCCTCATTCATGACTCATCTGTTCAACCAGCCACTCCACTTATTCACGTTCCTTCCCATCGAGATTCCTATCAAACAGGTGATAGTCTAGTTTGTGGACTATCTGGTGTCAGGAAAAATTTGGCAGGGGTTCTTACAAACACATGTTCATTTATACTTCTTAGGAAGTCATCCGTTGACAAAGTGAGCAGATCTAACGATTGTGTGCCACGTAAGTGACAGAGTTAGAGTTAAACAGCTCTATGCCCTTGGCTTCTCTGTTATTTTACAAGATTTTTACTTGAAGTTTAAAATGTCAGTGCATTTGATATTTGTGTGCATGTGTGCATTTACGTGCATTTGATATTTGTGATTAAACGAAATAAAATTAGATTTGTATTAATAAATCTAATATTCTTTATTTTGATCTTTAAAGTCACGCCTCATTCTATATTCTTGTGGTAACATTTAAATGAATTTGCCCAATTGTTTAAAAGAGCCATTATATTCTGAATTAGAGAGATCAGTACTTGTATGTAGTAGTGCCTTTACAATATTGACAAGCTTTTCTTGTTTTGCTCTGGTTCATAAGAATTTAAATTCTTAAACACTTAGTTTAAAATTAAAATATAATGCAAGAAAGTGGTTTTTGAATTATTTTTCATTGAGAGAATATTTTACATTTTGAATTAAAATCATAATCTTTTTCCTTCTAGATGATCAAATCTACTCCTTCAAAGAATAAAGATAAGAAAGTAAGTTTTTATTTTTTAGTGTTTTTAGTGTCTAATATTAATTCATGATGACACTATTGAAAAATCTAAGTGTCAGTTTACAAGGACAACAGTCTTCTGAAAAAAAATTGTAAGTCAGTAGTGAGCAAACTTTTCAATTGTCAGGCCATTATTTGTGGCCTACTTACCTACAATTTATATTTACACAGTAAAAGATACATTTCTATAAAATATCACTTTTGTATATTGTCAAATGATTATGGGCTGAATTTGGCCAAGGAATCTAATTTGGACACCACTGATGTAGGTAAGGCAAATTGTTTTTAATTTGCTTTATTAGATAACTAATACAATAACAAGCATGCAATATAACTTGCTTACTGACTTGCAAAAACAAAATATTTAGTAATTTTTAAAATCTGTCTTTTTATTTATTAAAAAAAAAGTCTCTTCCAAAAACTTGGTCGATCACCTTTTATTTCCTTTAAAATGTTCCAGAATAAACTTCAGGCGACCCGACCTTTCTTTTTAGGCTACACGGTCGCCCATGAAATAGTTCCTTAAAACACAGAAATAATCCAATTTAAAACATAAAAATTTTTTTAAAAATTGGAATTGGTGACTTTTTGACGTCTTGAGTTCTCATCCTTCTCCGTTCGGGAGATTCAGATCCTTATATTCACTAGAAAATTGCACTGTTAAATGTAAATTATCCTTACTCTCCCTCTGGTCGCAAATTATTATAAAATTTTTTAATTTTAAAATCTTATTAAATGATTTTTTACAACATTGCTTGGAACAATTTTTAAAAAATTTTACTCCCACTAATGATTTTTGAAAGTGACTTTTAGGTTCCAGTTTGAATTTGATCCAGCTCCTTGATCTTGCATGATCAAAGCACAGTTGGAAAATGAGATGTCTAGGCAATGGCCTCAGATGGCAGCTTTTCTAATAAAATGTTTTTAAGAAGGGTTTATCATAAAAACAGACATGAAAGGCTGCAAACACTCGAGGTTGAGATGCAACAGTGAGTTTCTGTACCTATATATTAATGGACGATGCTTCCCTCAATCAGGTGTTAGCAAAGCTGGTCCCACTTTTCCCCACCCTCCAGCACTGCATCAAGAAATGGTTTTGTGAGAATTTGTTACTATGTAAATCAATAGCTATTAAAATTGAGTTCATCTTAGTTCACGCATGGTCTAAACTACATTTATATCAGTCAAAATATATTCCCACCCTTTTTTATTCATTTAAAATTATTGCAAATATTTATGAAATGGAGAATGTAGCTCACCTGGAGCAGCACAAAGTAGAATCTCTACTGTTTTCAGTCAGATTTTGCAGCAAAAGTTTCTCTTGAAAATGCAATTATTTTATGAAAATTTCCAATAGAGGAAGGACTTCATAAACTTTTTTTTTTAGTGCCAAACTGTTTGTTTTCATTATTAGAAAAGTTTAACTAATGATGCAGTTAGGCAAAGTGAGCACAATGGCTGTTTGCCTGTGGAAGAATTGCAAAGTGGTTTGGAATTCCTTTTTATATTCTCAGTTTAGAAAAAAATATGTAATATGCACATTAAAGAGACAGAAAGACTTTTTGCCTTAGTGGCTGAACTTACTAATGTGATTTTTGATTTCTGGAAAAGTTTTATCAATTTGATTTGACCTAATAGTTAAGTATTCGGAGCTCTAGAAAGATCTTTTTAATGATTATCCTGTGTATCTTAATATATTATGGTATACAAAACAAAAGTTTTCCTTTTTTGAGACCAGAAGTTTTTTAACAAATGAGTTTCTAATACTGCACAATAAATCATTTCATATCAGTGGAAGGGACCACTCAGTTTGTCATTTNAATCGTGTCCATTGGCAAGAGTTTGAGAGTAGAGGTAGATGATGCAGACGTGGAGGAGTTGCTGAAAGACCATCAAAATGAACTAATGACAGAAGAGCTGGTTGCCATGCAGGAAGAACAGATGAAAGTCTTACAAGAAGAGCATTCGTCAGAGGAAGAGGCTAGGGAAGAAATCACCAGTGCTGAGATCAAGGAAATTTGCAGAAAATGGAATGATGTGCAAGAATTTATGAAGAAGCACCATCCTAACAAAGTTGTGGCTAATAAGGTCATTAATTTAATGAACAACACTGTGCTAGCACATTTTAGAAAAATTTTGATTGAGAGTAAGACAATCAACTTTAGACCACTTTCTTATTCCTTATCAAAAGAGACCCCCAATGCAGTGCTACCCGATATTTTTATGGAGAGGGATTCCTCTTCCAAGCATTAAGCTCCGTAGAAACAAAGGTATGTACAGTGCTACTTTATTAAATAAAGTTTACATATTTGTTGCTGTAATGATAGATACTATGTTTTCTTATATTTTTATCAAAGAAAACCCATTTTACAATACTGATGGCTAGAACGGATTAATTGTATTTGCATCAATTTCTATGGGAAAAATTGCTTCGGTTAACGAATAGACTCGTGGAACAGATTACGTTCATTAACCGGGTTTCCACTGTACTGTACTACATCGTAATATGTTACTACATTTCATTTTAAAAATAAAGATATTATTACCAGTACATTCACTTAGGTGTTCACATAATACAATACACATTAATTAATAGTTAATGGGTATAGCATTTAAAGCCAATGTACTGAATTGTTTTATATATTGATTACACAACTTAATCTAATAATGTATTTAACTATGAAAAATTAATAAATGTAATCTAAATTCCACATTGTTTTGGATTATATTTAACAAATAGCTGTTTAAAAAATTTCAAATGCTGTCAATGAATAAATGTATTCATTTAATGGGCATTTTCCTTTGAAAATAAAAACTTCAATAATGAATTCCTTTTAAAGAAAATTAATTAACTTGTAAGATCCGACCCATGTGCAAACCAATTTTTCACTTTCCACCTAAGCTTTCGACATATTTGAAATAAATTTGTTGCCCCTCGTTAAAATAACATCATCAGAAAAAAGAAATCAAATAACTTTCCTCTTTAATGTAAACAATCAACCATCTAACAATGTCATTCTCATATTGCAAGACTTAAAATTTACAATTAATATCCAATTTCTTTACTTTATTATAGTCCTGAGGACACCTTTCAACCTCCACACATGCTAAAGTAACCTCTAGCTCTAATAACAGTCCATCACATGACATTTTTCCCAGGCCAAATCAATAAAAGCCTGCATCATCCCCCTCGAGGGGCCGTCTCTCACAAATCTGACAATACTAAGGAGGGATATCATCGAGCTATCTTTATTATGTGCAGTCTACGAATCTCAGTTGCAATTTCTATAACATTGTACACTATCGACACAAACATCCGTGGGAATTAGTAAGAGGTATGATATCAAGCATGTAAACTCTCTCTCATCCCCTTAAACTTGTACTCTGAAGTTAGGAGAACTTGAAGTTATGTTGATTTTCGTAGTTGTAAATGTCCTTTTTATTATTCAATAAATTTTTTATTTTTCTTGCTAATGGTGTCCTTTGCTCATTTATTGCCTACACCCCTCTCCTCCTCCACTCGACCTGACAAAAAGAATCCCGACCCTTCGGGATAGAAAAAGTAAACAAGCCATCCACTGACAAGTGGGCAGTTTTCACCAAACTGTTGCTGAGAAAGAGGTACGACCTTGTCATACCTCTAACATCCCACAAACTTAAAAACATAAGTAAATATTTTTATACATTTAATGCATGTATTCAGAGAATTAGTTCAATAATGGTTTTATCCTCTTACAATAAAATATAATGCTGCTCCAATTTTTCTTTAACAGATTAATAAGTGAGTAATACTTACATTTCTTACTAGCTTTTTATTGTTTTATCTATTTCATTTCTTGATATATTAATTTTTTAACTATATATAATGTACAGATTCAATTTAGCCACTTATTAAGTTGAAGGAAATCAATATAATCCTATCTAACAATGGCAAATTAAAAAATCTACATAAATAATAAGCTTGCAAATTTCTATTACCTTTATAAACATTTTCTGGTATGATAGGACAAAATATCAATTACAAGAATTTTAAATTTAATTATAACAACTTGTTACAGTAGAGTCCCGAAAACTCGGCCTAATATGGACCAAAGGGTGGCTGAGTTTGTGAAAATGCTGGATTATCAGGAATGGGGTTAAATAAGAATAAGTGTTTCCTCAGAAGGTACTGTACTGTACTTGTATGTATTGTTTGCTTGACAATACAACAGAGAATAAACTGCCCAAATACCCTTAAACAAAAGTGCATACTTTATGAAGGCATAGAGCCTTTACTACATGAAAATGAAAATTAATGAATACACAGTGTACAGTAATTTACCTGATAAGACAGACCTCAGAAAAATACTTTGATGCATAAAGTTGTCTATAATGAAAACTAACTAGGAGTTTTTTCGCCCTGCCAGGGTGTGGTCGAGTTATCCAGACTCTACTGTATTAGAAAATTCTATTTCTGAAATTTATTGATTTCTTTATTCAATATTGGCTACTAGACTTGTCACAATGGTCAACAGCCTACACTTCCTTTAATTAATTCAAGAATTGAGGAAAGTAAGCTTGGTACATGTAATGCCTTAGTATTGCACACATCATATAAAATTTATCTTTTATTATATTTAAAAACATGCTTTCAACTGTTAGTATTGTTTTCTGATATTACCATAAGATAAGAGACTTCAAACTTGGATGATAAATCAGCTTTATGCAGAAAACAGGTTAAAAAAGTTAGTGTAGTATGAACATTTTTACTTTAAAAAGAAAACTTTAAATTGAAAACTTATCTAATATACTTCTACTTGTTTAATGCCTTTGAAAGTGTACATCTAAAATATTTAAAAACAGAACCAGTACAAAATTTAAACAAACTCAGCTTTTGTACTATATTAAAAAGATTAGTAAATTCTTTAATTCTTATTGAACTGTTTTATTAAAAAAAATAAAACAGTTCAATAAATAAAATAAATGTGAATTCTATGTTTCTTATTAAATTTAACATTTTTTATTTGTATTTCAAGTTACAATCTTTGTTGTAGTTTAGAGATGCATTTTGTAGACAAAATTTTCTTACATACAGTAGGCCTAATGCTATGTTAGATAACTGAAAAACTTGGATAAAACAAACAGCCATGGCCATTTCAGATTATAAAACTAATACCACAAAGATATATAAAGAGGCTTAAATCATGTAAAATGTAATATACAATAATTTTAAGAATTATTATTTGTTTATTAGTTAAACCATTCACATTTAAAATATAACCATTCACATTTAAAATATAACTTAAATCATATCTTTTGTCTCATATTAAACATATATTACAAAATTAGTTGCTTCTGTTATTGTTATAAGCTTTAAGTTCTTTTAGAATATTTAATTTTAGGAATGTTCTGCACTTACTTTAGCATCAACCACTTGCTCAGTACTGTGGAGGTTAAAAGTATTGCAGTATATGTTCAGTACATTCATGAGTTTTTTGAATTGTAAATAGTGTATTCACTTATAGGTTTGCTTGATAATGCAGAACCTCACTTAATTGGGATTCTACTGTAATTTTAAATATTTCAGAACAATAAATTTTGATGGATGATGACAAATATAGACAGAAATTGTCATTATGATGATTTTAAAATTTACATTTACCTTATCAACTGCAGATTACATATTACTTTCAAATATATTTAAACTAAACATACAATATTATAACTAATGAAATTAGAACTGTTAAGAAATTTCTTGGTTAATTAATCCCTTTAGTAATACTGCATATATTAAAATCACATTAATTAACACAGCTCTATTTGATTAAAACTTCTGTCACAGTTAACGTGAGATTTGATTAACATGTGAAATTAAGCCAGAAATACCTGTGTTCTTCTAAACTAGAGAATTATTTAACTACATAATTTCTAAATTTCAGACTTGGTAACAGATTTATTATAATTTTCAAAAATTTACGTACTGTACATATAAAATCTATCATATGGCAGAGGCAGAATCAAAAACCAAATTTTAACATTTATTACATTTATGAATGATGACAGTTATAAATAAAGTAGCTTCTAGGACTGCTTTAGAAGTCTAAAGGTTTCCATACTGCAACTTCCACATTTGCTTCATCATTTATTCCCAGTTAATGAAAATCTTACCAATAAAATAACAATACTTCCTCAACCTCTATCTCTTTATTTTAGGAAACATACAAAATTCAATTGTATCAATTGTCAAAATATATAATAATAATATGGTTTAGAATGAAAATGGCAGGAAAAATATGACTAATCTGTCTAATGGTAAAAAAACGAAATTACTTTCCAAACAACCCAATAGTTTGGATAGTGGATAGTATTTTGGGGCTGCAATTTGAAAAACTGTAGACTTATAAATTCCTGCTGTTTGTCTGTCCTTAGAGAGATGGCAGGCAAAACTCAATTGGTAACAGGAAAAGTATGATGTACAGGGTCAAGACACTACTAATTTGAGGTGGAGAGCATATAATTTAAAAAAAAAATGCAAGCTTGAATATAAATTATATGCTCTCCACCTCAAATTAGTAGTGTCTTGACCCTGTACATCATACTTTTCCTGTTACCAATTGAGTTTTGCCTGCCATCTCTCTAAGGACAGACAAACAGCAGGAATTTATGTCTACAGTTTTTCAAATTGCAGCCCAAAAATACTATCCACTATCCAAACTATTGGGTTGTTTGGAAAGTAATTTCGTTTTTTTACCATTAGACAGATTAGTCATATTTTTCCTGCCATTTTCATTCTAAACCATATTATCATTATATATTTTGACAGCTACCATTTTAAGGCTTATTTGTAAAAAATTTTGTTTGATTTTGTGCAATTGTTTATTTTTTGTGTCCCATCAAATATGGAAGATCAAAAGCATAATTTTCAGCATATTTTGCTTTTTTTATTACCAAAAAATCAAAATGCTGTTCAAGCAAGAAAAAAATTGTGATACATGTGTTGAGAGAAAGACAGTGCCAAAACAGATTTACAAAATTTTGTTCTGGCAATTTCAATATTGAAGATGCACCACATTCTAGATGGCCAGTTGAAGCCAATGAAAACAAAATAAAGGTACTGATTGAAGCAAACTGCCGAACAACAACACCACATAAAATCACTAAGAGATTAAATTTGTCAAATTGAACTGTTTATGATAGAAATGAAACCAATTTGTTTCAAGTAAAGCTCAATATATGGGTTCCCCATGTTCTTAAAATCCCACCAAAGAGAGCATCTTTAAGGAAATTTTTTTTTTGACCTTTTACCAGACAATTTAACAATTGATTCAAAAATGTACTGCCATCGAGTAAACAAACTGAGTAATATCAACAAAACAGGTGTAGTGTTTTACCACGATAATGTCAAATTTCACACAAGTTTGGTAACTCCTCAGTACGTCCCATCTAAGTTATAACAGTTTCTATCACAGTCAGATTATTACTTGTTCCAGTCTATACAAATTTTTTTTAACCGTAAGACATTTACTTGAAATGACAATGTCAAAAATCACTTGGATCAGTTTTTTGTAAGCAACGATCAAAACTTTTATGAATGTGAAATCATGCTACTACCAGAAACGATGACAACAGGTATTTGACCAAAATGGTCGATATATAATTCAATAAAATACAATATTTTTTTCCACGGAAAAAACAAAATTACTTTCTGAACAACCCAATATTTGTCAAACTAATCCTAGAAGCTAATACAAGTGTGTACTTTGTGTTGTGTAGTAAAACTTGTACCCAAAATTGTTTGTTTGATTTTATATTCTATTAAAAATATAAGATATGAAAAATTTATTTACTAAATCTTGTTTTACAAAGGATTAATAATTATAACAAATTACCTTTTTACTGGTGAAAAAGTATCATTGGTTTGACATCTCACAGATTCTTGTATGAGGTTTAATTCATCAAATTTTCTTTTTCTCTGTCTTTCGTCTCTAATTGTCTATTAAATGTTAAAAATATACTTGTATTAAGCAAGTTAACCTGAATTAAGATATTGATTTAAAATCAACAAGTACTTCAATAAGCCAGTGGTTCTCAAACTTTTTAAAGAGTAGCGTGATTTTTGTAAAAATATAATTTGTGCTTCCTACACTTTCGTAGAATAAGCCCTAAGAAAATTCAGTATTCTTTTCTTTTAATAAAATAAAACTTTTTGATGGCACAAAATCCTATTTCAAATAAAAGAGAAGTAAAATAGAACACAGACATACTGATAAATGAAATTAAATTTTGATTATAATAACTGTATAACAGTTATATATAATGACAACTTACATGTGTGTTTATTTCATTAAAAGCTAGTATATAGAATATCATATTTGTGAGAATTGTACTCCAAAATAAATAATAATAATCATTCATGCCTCTAAAAGAAGTCTCACACACCACTAGAAAGGTGCCCACAGTTTGAGAACCACTAGATTAAATTTGTTATAACTAATAAAAAAAAAATCTCAAAATTTTAAATTTAATTCTAAATTAATGTGAATAAATTAGGTAAAATTAGTTACATTTGCAATCTCTTATTCCAAGATTTACATTATCAGACATTCATTTATGTATTTATTTATTTTATATTTTATTTTTTTCTGTATACTTTCACTTGGATTCTCAATTTATCAATTTTACATATTTAAATAATTCTTGTTTAGAATGTAATATTTAAACTTTGAACACTTTTGAATACAATTTTTTAATCTTGAGGATGGCTACACAGATAGCTGAAAGGGTTAGATAAATTAAAGACAAAAAAACCTATTCCAGCAACTATTTTTATGTATTATCAAACAACAACAATTTTAGGATTCTCTATTATAAATTTATCACAAGAAATTTGACTATTTCATTCATTAATATTTATAATTAAAGCATTTCACATAAACACAAATATTGAATACATATTAAAAGTTTATAGATTATGTCTATTATGTTACACAGGTTGACCCAAACAACTCTAATATTCATTTTTAAATGAAGGAAAGTAAGTTTCATTAAAAGTTATAAAAATTTTTATAAGTAAATCAGGTATGCCGTATGAAATGATATTTTCAACTTCCATAACTAATCAGAAGTGGATTATTCAGGCTAAAATTCAAACTTTTTAAATAGAATATGGCAATTTTTTTAAATTTATATTTGGACTAAATTTGAAAAAATAAAAATTTTTGTCTCAAACATTTTTTCTGATAACACTTTAATGACCATAAAATAATCTTAAAAAGTGTGTTACATGGAGAAAAATGATACTTTAATAAAAATATTTTGAAACATTTTTACATAATTAATGCAGAACTAGCAAAAATTGTTATTACTGCTTCATAGTATTTCTGTTCATTTAAACTCTTCTGGTGTAACTTATTTGGCTGTGATTTTAACTATTTAATCAAAATGTTCAAACTGAGCACTGTTCTCACCAATTCAAGCATCTTTCTACTTGAAAAAGAATTTGTTGCTTAAAAAACTTCATAGGACATGGCTACATAGATCATTATGATGCCTTTGACAGGTATGTAACTGAAAATTAAAACTTACTTTAAATAAAAATGTAAACAAGCATAATGTTTACGTTTTTTGACACTGAATGATTTTTGAGCCAGCTAAAAAATATAGCTACAAACTGATTGGTAATAAAGTTTTGCCAATGAAAGTTCATCACACTTTCAAGATCATTTTATGATCAATGGCGACATTTTCAGAAAAAAATATTTGTGACAAAATAATCTGATTTTTTTCACTTAATCTGAATCTAAATTAAAAAATACCATGTTCTATTTTGAGAAGTTGGAAAGGTCCAACAGACAAGGCTATGATGAGTTACTATGCTGGAAATAGTGTTGTGGGAAGTAACTTATTGCTTTGAGCACTGTAGAGACATTGATGGTCACCATGTGGAGCACTAATTTTTTGCAGTAGATATTTTGAAATAAATGTATTTTTCATGTTTAAATCACTCCAATTATTTTTCAAAATAGATAGAGCTAGCTTACTGAATAAACCAATATGGATTGTTGCAATTCTTCCTGACTAATAGTGACAAGAAAAAAATGAAAAAAAAATTCAATTGTCTCTCTCCTTTGTGAACAAATTGAATCTCTGACTACTAAAATTAATACCCAACTTGATTGAGGATGATTTATGTAATTTATTTTTCAATACAGTAGAGCGTCGTTTATTCGAATCAATTGGGGACTGGGGTTGTTCGAATAACTTATTTTTCGGATAACCGATTATGTACGAAAAAATACATTAACCTATCTCGTGTTGAAATTTTTCTCCATTGCATGTTGCTTTGCATTGAATTTTCGTCGATGTTAAGCTTAATGTAAACTTTTTAAAATAATAATCGTGGCTATTGTATCGTTAAAAATTATTTCTTTATTTTATACAAACAAAATAAATTTATTGAAAAATATAAAAACAATAAATAATTATACTTCAGAAGTTAATTTAGTATCGAAAACGTAAAATATTTGAGTAGCCCAAGACATAGCCAAAGATTGCAGCGCCACAGCACTGGCGAAAATTTAAATTTGCCGACTGGAATTCTTTCAGATAATTGACGCTCTACTGTATTATCATACAACTTTAAACCAGAAATAAATAATAAAATATTTATATATTTAATTGACAGACACTAAACAAAATTATTATTGTAAAAGGTTAAAATTAAAAAAAAGATATTTTAAAACAAACTGATAACAATTAGTTAACAATTAATCATATAGTTAGACAATTATATAATCCTGATTAAAATCGTTAATTGGCTAGTTTGACAATTCTTTCATCTTTCAATATTTTGATAGATTCCTAATAAAACATTTATACATATTGAAGTTTTTTTCAAACAAAACTAAATGTTATTACTTAAATTGTTTAACATTATAATAAATAAAATATAAAATACATAAAAAGTGTTTGTTTTTCTTTGTAAAATATAATCTTACTGAATTTTGTATAAATTTGATTGATTAATTTTGTTTACTTACTTTTCCTGTTCTAACTTTTTGCTGATTTCCTCTCGTGTAAGCTTTTTTATCTCTTTTGGATGGCAAACATTCTATTTGAATATTTGATTCACTAATTTTTGGACCTAAATGAAAAATAATTTAAAACTTCAAAATTTTTTATAAAATATTATAATCTAAATTTAATAAGCATATTTTCAAATTGTAAAAATATATATTTCTTTTTTATTTACATTCCTTTAAATAATAATAATTATTATTATTACTTTTTCTTATTTACTTAGAAAAACTAATAAGAAGAATGAATGCAATAATGAATATAATTAATAAAGAAATATACCAATAAAAAAAACCAGAGCAACCTGTTGTTAAAAATGTGCAGACACCTTTGGTTCTATTATATTATATATCTTTAAAAGAAATTATTGTAGAGATTTGTAGTCTTTAAAGTTCAGATAAGGAAAACTTATTTCATTTTTCAATAACTTTATTCATTAAGCATCGGAAAATACTTGCATATCTTTTATAAGCAATGTGCATTTCTTATTTTACTACCTTAAATACTTGTTAATGACTAACCATTTAGCTTGAAAAATTGAATCCTTTATTATTATTATTCTGAAAATTCAGTCATCAAAAATTGAAAAATTCTCTTTTTTTTGTATTTTTTGTTATAGGTTTCTTTTTTATCATTAATTATGCTAATTATTATTTCAAAATATATTTTATCCTGCCTGAAATCTTGTGACAACAAGAAAAATCTACACAAGATCCAATACACAGCAACCATAAAACAGAAAAATCAGTTATGTAGTTTAATTATTAACTCTATTTGTAAATGCAGCATATGACAAACTAGTTTATACCATTCTTTGTTTTATGTTTCAAGTATGCAACAATCAATATTTTAATAAGTTTTAAAAGTTAAGCTTAATATAATTTTGTTGCAATTTACTTAAACAGAAACAGTTTCTAATTTCTGACTAATTAAAAGTAAATAAAAAATGTAGCATTTGATACTGAAGGCAAAACTTGTTTAATATAAGAAAAATTAAATAAATAATAATAATATGAAATACTTTAATAAACATTATACTTGTTTACAGTGTATTTTTAATTTAATTACTACTTTCAGATAGAGATTATATCTAAATATTACACTGGATATCTCCTCTTCTAACTAATCTGAGTAAAGATGTCCAGTAGGTGTTTTGAGCATGATGAAGGCCTTTGTTTACCATGGTTTGGCACGTTCACAATGGGAAGTGGCAAAGCAGTGTATCTTATATATGAGGAGAGGTCCCACATATCTGGGACTACTCATGTAAAATCCCAAGGTCCCAAACACCTCACAGCAACAGTGTGATGCCTTCATATCTTTGGCTATCTGGCCATCAGTGTTCAAATCTACTTAATCAGTAGACAAAGCAATTTTAGTTCCTATCTATATGATAACAAGGTTAGCAATTACATGAAGAAAGTATATATTCAAATGTAAGAGAATTTGGCATAAACTGACTGGCTGAATTAGTTCATATAAATCAGAACTCAATCTTATATATTTCAGACTTCTCTCTCTGGATACAAATACAAATAGAAGAATACAAAACAGGATTATGCATCTCAGGATTAAGGATAAGATAGAAACAATCTGATAAAATATCTTATCTGATATGTAACTTACATCAGACAAGAAAGATAGCTAATAAAACTATTCTGGAACACATATGTTGTTTTTATTTATAATCTTAAAAAATTTACATATTAAGATATTAAAAAAATCCAAAATTATTAGATCTGGTGATATAAGGTTGTTATTTATTATTAATAATTTTTCATATATATATTTTATATACAGTCAAACTTCCATATTACAAACTTCTATATAGCAAATTTCTTTGTATAATGAATTTTTGCAACATACACTGCTCTTTCAGCCAAAATATGTGTAAAATTGCTTCTAAATAACAACGTTAAATTTCTATGTAGCAATTTCTTTTTTAATTTGTAAGGGCCATCAATCATTAAAAGTTGATTACTCCTGGGATGAGTTCAAAATTTAGGTTTAATTTCAGGTATCAATCTGTAAATCCTTTGTAAAACTGCGGCCCAGGTGTGAGAAATACCGGTCATTAACTTTTAAAACCATCATGTAATCTACTCCTCCCCAAGGCTACCAGTTGTAAAGAAGGAAGAGAGAAATTAGGTTCAAATGCCATCATTGACAGATAGACAGTTTACAATTAACGAATGTTGAAAATGTTAGACAGGTGATAATGACAACTGCTGGACTAATTTTTGAAGTTAGTGAGATTTTATTTTATTTTATTTAATAAGTCATCCAGTTGGAATTTCAAGAACTGTTAATATAGTGTTTAAGCATTACTAAAAAAATGAATGTCTTGCAGGAAGTTCATAAAGACTTTAAAAAAATAAGATATTATAGCAAAGTTTGGAATTCCTGTAGGTAGTTTATCAATTATAATAAAAAATCGCAAATCAATTTTGAAATTAGCCAATGATGCAAGACCTATAGGAAAACATAACATACTATAACCTGCATTTACATCAATGTAGATGAAGCAATTTTAATACTTTTAATAAGTGTGAAGTATATTATGAAGAGAGAACATTTTTTAATTGTGCTGTGCAACAAAAACTTAGTTAGTTTTTTTCAAAAATGTAATTAAACTAAGTATTTTAACACACAAATGTAAACTTATTTAAAATTAAAACTAATGTTTATGTGATGTTAAAATAACACTTTGCGTATCAAAAAGTGTAATTTCTGTATAATGAAATTTCCCTACAGCAAATTTTTTTTTCAGAAATTAGTGACTTCATTATATAGAAGTTTGACTGTATGTTTGTCCAAGTTGTTTAGATGCTTGTTAAAATTATATTTTGTATAGATACATTTCCAACAAATTTAATTTCTAAATGTTCATTTACCACAGTAATCAAAGTTTATTACAAGTAATTTCATAAATCTTGGCTGGAAGCTGCACATTATATAAATGAAACTCTTGAGTACTTAAACAAAATATATGCCAGAGGATCTGAGATGTGTTTTACATTCTGTTGAACTTATACAGTCTGTAATGTATAATTCATGTATCTTTCTCATTCTAACCTAACCTTGTCCTTTCTGCTGCATATCACAGCATTAACTACTGTGCCAATAAAGAGAAGTAAACCTAAAGAATTAAAAGTATTTAATATAATTTTAACTACTATAAAATTTTTTTTCTTTTGGTGCTATGATTTAAAATTTTAAACAATAATTTTAAATTTCTTTTCAATAAAAATTTTAATAAATATCATTACTCAATATCAAAAATTTTCAATTATGGTTATGATTATAGTTATATTAAGAATATTTACAAAACTAACTTAGCATATTGATCGTTATTATGCTGATTCTCTAGGATAGATTTTGTGTTGATATTGTTTGTAAAATAGAGTTTCAACGTAAGCTGTTTTTTTTTCAAGCTCTGATGGGCCATAAAAAAAAGACAAGTGTAAATAACAAAATGAATTTATTACCAAAAGTTAGGTATAAATGATGTTGACATAATCACTGTGAAGATTGAGGCATTTGTCATATCTTCACAATGATTATTCAAAAAGTAACCTTATTTGTACCTAACTTTTGGTAATAAATTCATTTTGTTATTTACACTTGTTTTTTTATGGCCCATCAGAGCTTGAAAAAAACAGCCCTCGTAATAAAAAAATAACCAGAACAGTTACAATGTATAAAATAAAACTTCTGTGACAAGTTAATTTTGTCTGAAAGTCTTAAGCACTGATTAATTGATGATCCATTTAATATTATTTCTATCTCCAAGTTTAAGGATTAAAGAGGTGCATCTAGTTTCCTTACAGGATTTTTTCTCATCACAAAATTTAGTAAAAACTATAAAGCAGAACAATAAAATGCCAAAAATTCAAAATAAAAAATAGTAAAAATATATGGATGAAGATTTGGAACACTTTATCACAAAAATTACCTACTGGAATTTAAGTAAATTTATAGTGGTATTAGGTTGCATGCTTCTTTTTCTTTCTTAATTTTGGTTGATTTCCTACAACACTTCTCAACTAGTATAATGAAATGATTAAATGTTTATTAAATTTTTTATTGAATGATTCGATCCTATAAAACGGCTACAATTAATACTTTCTTTTGATAATATGCAGAATTTTTATTCATCTTGATCAATTCTGCACGTTTATAGTTATTATGAGTCAAGTTTTCATGCAACTAAAGATCAAGTGAATCAAGTGATATATTACACAAACATAAACAGATTATACAGGGTGTTTGGAAATTCCCATTACAAACTTCTAGGATTTGTAGAGGGGAGTGAGTATATAATATTTTGATTAGGAACCCATGTCCAGAAACATACCGTTTCCATTCTACGACGTTTTCAATTCAGATGTTTAACTTTTCCACTTCTGCTTGAAGAATTTGAATTAGCTGTGACGCAGTGCAATTATTAGGTAACTATTCGAAAGGAAACATAACGAAACATCCATTTATCACTTACATTAAAGTTACTCTGAGACTTTTCTCTTTCTCTCAGCAAAAGTGGAAGAATTAAACATCTGAATTGAAACTGTTGTAGAACGGGAACGGAAACAGTACATTTCTGGACATGGGTTCCTAATCAAAATATTATGTACTCATTCCCCTCTACAAATCCTAGAAGTTTGTAACAGGAATTTCCAAACACCCTGTATGTATGTGTAAAAAAATAATGTACGATTTCCTGGAATATATATTAATTTTTTTAACCTCTTACTAGACTACAGATAAATTATTTGACAAAATTAACTGGTTAATACTTCATTCCATGAAAGCAGTTGCAGTGAGTATTTTTTATAATTCAGGGTCTTCCAAAAAGAATGCTACCATTTTAAATTACTGTTAATTATTATCTGAAAAGTTTACAATGTACTGTACTCCAATTGGTTGAGTAACTGTCTGTCTGAGTTTCAACTCCCATTTGCATTCAAACATCTTGTCATCTATCACCTCTAGTAAGTATTGTCAATGAAAACTGCAACTTCTCATNTTCCACGAGTCCGTTCGTTAACCAAAGCAATTTTTCCCATA